AAAAATTTGTTAATGGATTTTTTTTTTCTAATCTAATTACATGGGCTTACTTACACACGAATTTTTGGGCAGCAGTCAGTGGCAAGCGTATCAGTTTCAAACGTAGCAAAAACTCTGAAGACAGTGGGAGGGAAAGTGTTATACAGCGCATCCCAGCTGTGCTATGGTAATTTAATACTTGTACTGTGACGGTAGGAGAATCCCATATCAGTCATGTGGTGGCTGGCTCAAAATAGCATCGGTGGGTGGAGTGACAAGTAAAAGTCATACGCCTTCTCGCATGCATACATCATAATCATCCTGAACATGCCTGGTCAACAGCCAGTGCCCAGGATTTTGGAGCTTCCATTTAGAAGGCACTCGCAATGCCATTCGATACTTCGAATGCGCATCGGCGCTTATCCTTGCACTCAGTGAATTACGCTTACTTTTTTTTGATTGCATTTTTCAGCGCCGAAATAATTGTTTGGCTTCTTTATATGCATTTTTGCTGTGGTGTGTGTGTGTGTGTGTTCTAAAGTGAGTGAACTTTGTCACCCACTTTCAAATCAGCAATTAGGAAAGCTGGACGGTAGAAATTTTTGAGGCACATCCCCAAAGCCGTGTGTCACTTCTTGCTTTAAAATCTTCGCTCATACGCCTAAATCTTAAGTACAGACTCTCCCTTCCTCCCCTTCCACCCTCAAAAATATATATATATATGCAAATTTCCTTGGTGAGAAACGATTTTGTGATCTGGATAAGACAGAAAGCTTAAACCTTGCAAGGGTGTTCTCTGTGCATGTGTGAGCTAGAGATTTCAAATTCGGCTACAGCGCACGTCTACATCACGCATACGGTCACGTCGAAGTCCGCATTTGCCACTGTGCAAACTCGAAAAGTAGTGGGAAAACAGTTGCTGAAATTCTGTCTAAATATTGTTCATATGGAAAATTGTATGCCTAAATTGAGCTTTGATTTGCATTTGCGCCACGACTTAGGGCATTTCAAAGATGTTTGTAGCGAAGCGACTATTTCGTTAATCAGACAAGTTGTGAAGCTGAAACTTTGCAAGGATATTCCGTACTCGCTTTTGGTCTTAATTCAGCTTGGAGGTGAAATTCCCTGCCCGCAGACATGATAAATACTCAATTTTATCACAAACTGAAAAGTGAGTGCATTATGTAGATTTCATAATTCTTTTCCGGCTTCTTTCAAACTAGCATTATTTCAGTGAACAAGCATTAACCGGAACGTAGGCTGGAACGCACCAGGCGAGCCGGAGCGATCATGCTTTTTGCACAAAACTTGAATTAGGTTAATTGCATGAACGGTTGTTTCTTCACACCTACCTTGTGT